GTAAGATAATTCATTAAAAGAAGCCATAATACATAGAAAGTAAAATCGAGAAAAAACTGTTTGTTATAATCAATTATATAAGTAGCATAATCGATTAAAACATAAATTTAGGCATAACCTATTACGCATATAGTCTAATGTGTTAGACAATGTGAAAAGAGGAAAAAAAAGACATAATGATATTTTAATAAATTACATAAGTGACATAGTCGATTAAAACAGAAACATTGGTCTAATCCATTATGCTAACAACCTTATTTGTTAGGTTATTTAAAAGAAGCAGTATAAGGCATAACTGTTATTTTAATCGATTATATAAGTGATCTAATTGATTAAAACAAAAACACAAGCATAATCGATCAAACTGCAACAAAATCTAATTTACTAAATAAATCAGATTGGAGACTTGACTCAACAATTTTAAATTGGCAATATACTGACATTTTCTCTGAGTTTGAGTACATGCATTTCCAGAAGAGTTCTTGGAGGTTTTATAGCTACATTGGTGAAGAAGAAAACAAGAAATCCATCAAGACTCAAAGGAGCTTACTTCTTCAGATTCTTATACTTTGTTTTTTATTTGATACTTGTGCTGGGTAGGCCATGTTAGAGAGTGAGTGTATCCTCTCTTGTATTGGTTGTATTAAATTTGAGTGTGGTGAGGATATCAATTGAGTGCATCATTGTATTCTTGAACTCAAAACTTGATTAGTGGATTACCCCAACTAAGGTTGTTGAGGGAAGACTGGATGTAGGTTTCTTGTAAGAGCTGAACTAGTATAAATCTTTGTGTGTTTTATTCTTTCTTTTATATTTCTTTACTTGATTGATTTAAATACCCTTGACTAGTGATTTTAAGATTAAATATTTTTTAATGATTTAAAAAACTTTTGAAATCCAATTCAACCCTTCTTGGCTTGAGATGTAGGGACTACTTTTCTAACATAACATATTACGTGTAGATGAAAAAAGTAGAAGAACAATGAACAACATTATATAATAACAAGAATAATATCACAAATATAGAATAATACTATGTAAAAACTTTTATAACATGTCGACTACTCTCTTGTACCCTTTAACCCTAAATATACTTGCGCTCTCTAAACCAAGAATTTAAACTAAACCTCACAATACTTTAGTCTAAAAATATAAGAAAAATCAAATATAACCTTAAAATATTTTTAATTAGAGTATCTAAACAGAGTAAACTTTTAAGTTTATTATATAACTACAATCAATCACTCAATTGTTTATATTAAGTGATGTAAGAATTTTTATTAGCCTAACATATATTTTTATATACATTGAAAAAAGAAGTAAGAATATTTATTTTTGTAACATCCCAAAAATATAACTTTAAACTATATTTAAGAGTACTTACATTTACAATCAAATAGAACAGTTACAGGAAATATAATTAACTTACAGTTATCCTAAAATAACCATAAATTTAAAACTTACTAAAATCCTACACTGAATACAAACCATAAGAGCAAATCGAACGGTCATACAAGAGATGTATCATCCGAACGATCATACAAGAGATGTATCAACCAAACGGTCCTATCCTAAGGGGTTGAAGACTCCTCGCTTAGCACCTGCTCCAAGGAACCCTCTCCGCACTCTGCTCACACCCACAGGGTGATCATTGCAAGGACGTAGATGACCGAACAAACAACATGACAAGACAGGAAAATAAGGGTAAGCTAATGTAATTTAATTAACCATGTTAACATACAATTCAGATAAACATATAATACAATCATACATATATAAAAATCATATGATCATATTACAACCGACCACTTTAATCTGACTGTCCGGACTAGTATGAATATGTAGCTTGAGGCCGTTCGTGCACCCAGGTGGTGTAGTAACTGCAAAACCATCAGTTGCCACCCGATGTTAGTCTGTTATAACTTACCCAATAACCTATGGGCTATGACCTCCTGCCATTCTCACACAATGCATTACCAATCTCTACTTGAGAATTGTAATCATCATAATTTCAGGATGAACTCCATGAACTTCACTTTCCATATTCATACTATAACACCACCTTGATACACTTTTCACTGAGACATTCCTCCTTGGAATTCTCTTCCACATTACTTGAAACATATGCCTTATTGAAATATCCATAAAATTTCCCATACACAGTAGATCAATACAATTATCTTAACCCATCAGAGTCAAACAGTAAAAATAGCATTAGAACCAAATATTCATTCAAAGAACTGAACGACAACAACACAAACCTCGAGTACGACCGAACGAAAAAGATCAATATAATTTATGAACAAGACCGAACAGAAAATACTCCCAACACACAAACATGACCAATTAGTCGAACACAATTTCGAGGGTCGAAAGCTAGAACAACCGAACACTCAGTGTAAGACCGAGCGGTCTTTCACTATCCATAGAACAGGACCGAACGGTCCATACTACCAATAACGAGCGCTAGTAAAGGATCGAGCACTACCAAAAACGAGCGCTAGTATGAGACCGAACACTACAAAGAACGAACGCTAACACTAGCATAACTGCTACTACAAGGTCGAGCGCTATAACCTAAGACGAACACCAATAGTTTAGTCCGACCACTTAAGATTGATCTTGAATATTATTATAAAACTTAATACTACTAAGAGACCCCACAAACTACTAAGAACGATCGCTAATATAAAACCGATCACGACTAGGAGACCGACCACTCTCCTAAGACCGAGCGGTCATGCACGGGTAAGACTAAAGAGATCTAACCTAATTAACGACCAAGTATCTGAACCTGAATGAGTGCTCAGTTTTCTACCTAATTATACAAATACTTCTGCAGATTTATGAACCAGCTAGATTTACCAAAACTAAATATTTTTCCCAATTTCACCATCACACTTCCTCACAATTCACTTAGTCATTGAACCAAAATTATACAACATCATAAACCTCATGAACATAACATATAATAGTCCACACAAATATCACCGAACATCAACTCATTCAGATCAATATGCAGAAAACTTCAACATTTCCAATATCAACCAAACATCCCATCATACCACCATTTGAAACATGCAACCATACTAACATGCAACAATCCATACACAGAAGAATCATAATTAAATCACTAGCTTCCCTTACCTCTTAACCGAACGAGAATCTTCTACCTTTCCAAAAGTTTGCTCACACTTCCATAAAATCCCCAAAACACCTATATCTCACTGATTGATGAGGATAGACCACCAAAAGACCATAAATGTGATCAGAAATGGGAAGAGGAAGCTGATGAACACATGCAACCAGAAACTTGGCTTGCATGTGTCAAAATGTTTCGGAATCTCACAAGAGTTCAAGAAATCGAGACTTACCAACTCTAAACAAGACTTTGATCAGTGGAAAATGAAACCCTTGATCTCATAAACACCTATGGAGATTCTGATCATTGATCAGATGAACCAACAGTGAGTAATTTTAAAAAGAAGGAGAAAAGAAGAGAGAAGAAGGAGAAAAGAAGAGAGAAGAAGATTTAAAAAGAAATGGTTGTATCAGAAAATGGGACGAACATTTAAAAATTTTCTTTATATAATAATATTATTTTAATATAAATTATTCAATCCCATTATTCTTACATACCTGTCCACTCCAAGATCTTTAAAATTCTCGTTTCTTACCATCTTGATGTTTGATAAAAAAACTAAGTATTAAAATTCTCGTTTCTTACCAATGTTTGATAAAAAAACTAAGTATCTTTCATTCTAAAGACACATTATTCACATATGTTTATACCCATCTAATTTTAATATTCAAGGAAGCGAAAGTGACATTCCCATAAAAAAAAGTTATTTATCATTACACTTTACGAATTTTTTAAATTTAAAAAATGTTCCTAAAAATAGTAAAATATAACTAAATGTATTAAAAAAGCAACATTCCTACTTATTATATTTCAAAGAATATCATTTATAAAAAAAAGTATCATGACTCTACCAATAAAATATTTTGTTGTTTTTTTAAAAATGTTTCTGAGTGTAACAAAAAACAACTGTGACCAGTTACCATAACAAGTAAAAGTCATTGATCCATCAAAGACCATATTATCGACTAATATCCACCATATTGAAAAAGGAAAAATCAGTCCAATCATCCAGGTAGGGATATCAAAGCCAATCATGAATGTTGACATTATTCAATTTGTGTACCTTAGTTCCACGACAATATTTAGAATTTTCATGAATCCAGGAAGGAACTAGACAATTTCTGTTGTGAACAAGGTTGCTTTGTCCACCATAATGTTTTAAGTTTTCTGCAACGGCAAATTATTATTTTTTAATATAACAATTTAAAGAAATCTTCTTCTTTTTTACTGAAAAGGGAAATATAGGATAGATCTTCCTCAATCATAATAATGATTAAGAAACAATAGAGACACTCTTCTCAATACCTTTTCTATTATTGTGTAGACATAATATTTTTAAAATTTGCTATATTCTCTCTTGATTTAGTACTATAATTAAAAAAATTAAAACTCCCAACCAATTTTATCCAATAATATAAAATATTAAAAAGAGCGTTGTTAGCTTTTGTATTACTCTTTTTATACATATAGAAGGACATTTGCCCATTATATATATATTGTCAACAGTTTTTTTTGACGTTAGTTTACGTGCCCATGGGAAAAACGCGCCAAGTAAAAACGGAACAGGTGGATTTCAACGTTACAGAAAAAGTCTACCATGGGAAAGGTCACGGAAAATGCTTTCCATATAATAGTCAACATTCATAAAAGAGGACAGTCTAGTCATTTAACCAAGGGTATATCCGGAAGAAAAAAAATTCACCTGCCTTAAAAGATTCTCGCGTTCACACTCCACAAAAACACCATTGTTGAAAATAACATCAAGATTCAGGGACAAAACGGTCAAACTGCGCAACATTATATAATATATAATATAAAACACCGTCCGTTTGAAGAATTTAACGTTTCAGGACTCAGGCAACTTTAGCAGAAGCATGGCAAACGAACCTGCGAGCTTCTGGACTCAAGCAAACGCTCTCCTTAGAAAGAATTTAACGTTTCAGGTAACTTTTTCTGCGTGTTTGATTTGATTATTAGAGTTTGAGAAGCACGTTCAGAAGCTGATTGAAGTAGTTTCGGTTTGGTTTGAGTCGCAGAGCCAAACGTGCGTTATTCATTACGAGTTTCTGTTATTGAGGAGTGGTTTTCATTTTTTCAGAAGCGAAATGTTAAAACAAACGTTCGACTCATCATGTTCCCGTTCCTGCTGTGTCTGTTGCTGGTTCTGCTTCAACGCCTAGTGGATTCTCAATTGGATAAGGCAGAGAACAAGTGTGGGTGCGAGTGTGTGAGGAGAGAAGGGGACACGTGTGTGGAGGAGGAGTGCGGGATTGAGCATTCGGATTTGGACCAAGTGACAACCTGCGCCATTCCAAATCCTCCAGAATGGTCTCCTCTGTTGCAGGTGCCGGCTCCGCAGTACCGAGCTGTGAGAACGGACAATTTTCCCTTTTCCGATTATCCAAACGCCTCCTGCAGGAGGAATGGCTCCTGTCCTGTCACTATGCTCTTCACTGGGACTAATCAGTCTTTTGGAGAAAGTAAAATTATGAATTATTGAATTATATTTCATTCTTTTTTCTTACTTAACTAACTCTTCCTTTTCTCTTTTGTAGTTATATCTGGGAATATGATCCCAAGTTCCTTCACTGCTATAAACAGCTCTGCTGTTATGGCTAGTTTGGCAGCAAATGTCGCTGTGAGTTGCTGTTTTTATTAACTTTGGGTTAAATCAATTTTTCGTCTCTATTGTTTAGTGAATTTGTTATTTTATGTAAAAATTTGATGACACATTTAGTCCTTCATTATTTTAAAATGAAACAATTTTATTTCGATATTAATACTTTTTCATGATTTTTAACAGAAAGTGTTGACCTTTCCTTAGAGGATTACAAACGTTTGTTATTCATTCATATAAAATGTTAAGAGTCATGTTTAGCATTAAATTTTGACATAGTTAAGATTTTCTGGTTGTAATTAGATGAAATATTATGTTAGATCGATTGTTTAGTTTTGTAAATTTATAGGATTAAATGTGTTATTAAAAATTTATAGATACCAGATTATTTAACGTGATTTTCTAAGTCTAAAACATATGGTTAATCTGTTTTCCCGCTAACTAATCACCTTTATGAGAAAACATATAAAAAGGGTCACATTGCATATATTATTGTAAATAGAAGATTGAATTGACAACTTTAGGAAATGTGGGAAGAAGTAAAGAAATTTTTAAAAAATTGACAAAAAAAGGTAATTTAGTGTTTATTGAATTTAATAGACGTGCATTATTGATGTAAACTTTTGAACTATTTATCAATCATAAATTATTATTAGTATTATAAAAATCAAAAGAGTTGACGTAAATAATGATTTATACTTGGGTAACACCATGAAACGTTTATACATTGTTCGTGTGTAAGCATTATTTATTTAGGTTCATATGTAATTTCATTTTGTCTTCAAAATATAGGGATCAGCCTCATATACAGAAAACACCAATTTTCTGGAACCTGCTTTCTTTTCGGATCAACCTATTTATTATCTTCAAAGTCAGTGCACGCAGAACTCTACATTTTCCATTTCTTTTGAGCTATCCGCAGCTATTAGCAGAGAACAAGGTACGAGACATCCTTTTATTGGCAATGTATAATTGCAACCTTTGAATGCTTTTCTCAAACACTTGTAATGATAATTATCTTTTGCCCAAGAAGTGCTCCCAAGTGATTTTGAATACGTTTGCGTGTAGTATGCGTGTCTTTTTCTTTTCTGGGTATCCTCAAGGCTTGCATGTCTTGTTTAAAATTCTTTTTACTAATTCAAAATTTTGTTTTCGGCTGGAGGTAGAGTTAGTATGCGCCGAGGGCTTACGTTTATGGCGTAATAGTGCTTCTGAAGTGAACAATGAGCTATATAGAGGTTATCGGAAAAGTAACCTAGAGGAACAAATCCAAGAGATAGCTACAGGTTGGTATATAGTTATATTTTGTTTCACTTAAGTGTTGAAAGCAATACTCATCTTTATATTTTTTTGACAGGTTATGATTTTTTGAATTCAAATGGGAGAATGTTTAATGTCAGCATATGGTACAACTCCACCTACAAAAACGACACTGGTTCTTCTGAAATTGCATTGGCGCGTATTCCTCGTTCTGTTAATTTGGTAAGAATCTAAATTTTGTTTTCCAATGTCCATCCTGTATGCTATTACCTATGATTGATGTAACATATTTTAACAGAAAATTATGTCTCAGTATACGAAATAATTTCACGCTACTTGCAGTATAATTTCTCCATGCATTTCAAATTCGTAATTTAAATGGATGAATTAAAAGCAATTATCATGACATCCATGTAGTATTTAATTGTGATATTTTAGATTTCAAACTGTATGATTGAAATTTTCTCTGTTTACATTTTCCTACTTTTCATTTTAACAACATTCGTGTCTCTATTTGTTGGCCTATGATATATTGCTATAGGACTGACTTTTATTATCAAATGCAATCGCAGGTATCAGACGCCTATCTGCAGTTTCTGTTGGGACCTGGTACCAAAATGTTTTTTGAGTTTGTAAAGGAAATGCCAAAACCTTCAACCCCAATTAAATTTGATTTGGCTTCTCTTTTGGGTGGTCTGTTCTTTACATGGGTTATCCTGCAACTTTTCCCTGTAAGTAATGAAGAAATATATTTACAATGAACTACATTGTTCGTACCTATAGAATTTAGCACATGAGGAAAGAACTGACATGGATTACAGAATGAGTTTCTATCTGGCTAAAATTTGATTTTGAATTAGGCTTCTCATTCTTACCTCCCCATATCATTTTGGTATGAGTGCAATCATGTAAAGCCTCTTCTTTTAGACAAGAATTGTTGTACTAAGAAGAAAACATGATTTAAAGGCAACAACAATTTATCCGATATCTGTTATGTCAATACAGAAGAATTAGTTTTCTATAATGTGTTTTTTAAACTCGTGCATTTATTGATGTAGATTGCCTTGACATCGCTTGTATATGAGAAGCAACAAAGATTAAGAATCATGATGAAAATGCATGGTCTTGGTGATGGGCCATATTGGATGATTTCGTATGGTTATTTTCTGGCCTTATCAATTGTCTACATGCTGTGTTTTGTGATATTTGGCTCACTCGTAGGTAAGAATGCAACCAGTGTGACTATTTTCTTTCTGTCGTTTTTTCCGTTTCTCTTTGATACAACTGCGTGGTTTTTTTCAGGGTTGAATTTCTTCACAATGAATGACTACAGCATCCAATTCGTGTTTTATTTCATCTATATAAATTTACAAATTGCACTGGCTTTTTTATTGGCTTCCGTGTTTTCAAATGTTAAAACTGCTACAGGTTTGATGATTATATGCTATGGTGTTGAATTAGTATTTTCTTCTATCTGATGGGATTACTGACTATTTGTTTGTTGTTGTAATTGCAGTAATTGCATATATAGGTGTGTTTGGAACTGGGCTATTAGCGGGCTTTCTTTTCCAATTTTTTGTTCAAGACACATCATTTCCAAGTAAGTAAAAATGATAAAAAGTTTGTAAGCATCTTGAATCATTCATTTGCTTCTGGACATAAATTTTAGTATGGCTATTCTAAAGTATTGACATATATTATACCATATTCTAAAATATTGGCATAAAAAGAATTGTATTTAAGTCAAATAGTGTAGGATCTTTGTGTTATAAAAACTGACAAAAACACGAATAAACTGGAATTCCTAAGATGTGTATATTCACTACCTTAAAAACTTATTTGTGGTATGTATGTTTCGTAAATTTTCTAGGATACAACAAGAATTTTATAGATTTTCTGAGAATGTCAGAACTAGGAAAAAACTCTAAAAAGAGTAAATAACTAAACCTAGAATAATAAAGTAAGAAAAGAGAAAAGATGATGAAAGGACGAGAGAGAAGAATGAAAGCGTGAAAATGTGTTTTTTTGGAGGAAGCCTTAAACACCTATTTATAGGTGTAAAGAAGGCTTGGTCACAAGCTGGAGGAGACTAACGCCCCTGTTATCCAAGGAGAAAGATCCGAATGACTTGCCGAAGTCGAGTCCAACGTTCAAGAAGAAGAGGCATGTTATTTGTTGCAAAAGACCTGCATCCATGGAGTTTTGTTTGATAATTCGTTATGTACATGGTGAGTGGAGCAAAGCTCAAATCAAATGGAAGGAAGGAAAAAACACTTTTAGGGTTTTATTTTCTCTTATAAGAAGGAGGAACCAAACTGCAGAGTCATCTTTTGCAATACTCTGTTTTTCCAATCCCTACATATTGCAGAAGATAGAAAGAAGAAAATATTGGGTCTCATATAAGATGTAATGTATCAGAACTGGTATAACAAGCTATATGAACCAGTCTTAGACTTGAAACTTAACCCACAATGTAGTTGGTATAGCAAGCTATATGAACTAAAAACACTTAGTGTGTTAGTGGTTTATCAATCACAATACACCCTAACAATTGTTGTTGTTGTTGTTGTTGTCTTGCGCTTACTAGGCCAGACACGTGCTTGAAATTCATGAGTCTTCAAGAGATCTTGCCAAGATCTCATACAAGCGGTCGCACTCGACATTCATATAGGTGATTTCACCAATTGTATGTTGCAAATCATAGACCACCCATAAAGGATGTGAAAATCATTAAAAACTTTGTCTAAACAAAATTCTTACACCACATAAAATTTAATTACAAGGTTTAATCTCTCAATAATGCAGTCTCTAACACTTTCACACACACACACCATAGGAATGAACATAATTGATTTAAAATTAATTTAGTGCTACCAAAACTAACAAGTGATTTGATTTTACTTATATGAATCTTATTCATGGAATCTCTAATCATAAAGGTTGGGTTACCATCACTTGTTTGTTTCCAAGTGGCTTAAGTTTCATTCCCCTCGATGTTTCTAGAATCATATTTCTTTCTAAGGGTTTTGTCAGAGGATATGCTAGATTCTGTTTTGACTTCACATAGTCAATGGAAATTGTTCCACTCTATAGGTGTTACTTCACCAAATTATGTCTCAATTGTATATATCTGTTCTTTCCATTGTAATTCTTGTTTTAGCTATAACTATTGTTGTTTGGAAATCGCAATATATTGATATAGATGAGGATGACTTCATCCCTAATGGAATGTTTGCTAATAAGTTTTTCAACCACTCAACTTCATTACCAGCCATTTTGAGACCAACAAACTCATATTCCATTATTGATCTTGCAATAATTGTTAGTTTGGTTAATCTTCATGTAATCGCACCACCTCTGAGTGTGAATGCATAGTCAGTGGTGGATTTTGTCTCATTTGAATAAGAGATTTAGCTAGCATCACTATACCTTTCTAGTACAACAGGAAATCCACTATATTTAATGGTATAATCCATTGAACCTCTTAAGTATCTCATAAGTCTTGCAAATGCATCCCAATGATCCTTATTAGGACATTGAGTGTACTTACTCAGTCTACCTACTGTAAAAGTAATATTAGGTCTAGAAAAGCTCATTGGATGCAGTAAGCTTCCAATTATCTGGTCATACTCAGCTTGAGAAATAAATTCTCCTATATCTTTCTTTAATTTAGAGTTAACATCATAAGGGGTATTCACTGATTTAAAGTCGTAATATCCAAACTTCTTGAGAAGTTTCTCAATGTGTTTCTTGGGATAGTAAACTATCTCCCTTCCTTATGACTATAACACCTAAAATTACAGTGACTTCACCCATATCTTTCATTTCAATTTAGATCCTAGATAAAACCTTTTACTACTAATCTTGCCTTATGCTTCTATATGGATCCATCAGGGTGATACTTTTTTTTTAAAAAATCCACTTACAACCATGGGTTTTGCTCCTTTAGGCAAGTCTACTAAGGTCCAAGTATTGTTTTTCTCAATTGATTCAATTTTAGTCCTAATGGCCTTATTCCAATATGTTGTATCAGGAGCATTTGTAGCTTCTAAAAAGCTTGTTGGATCATTCTCAATTAGATAAGTACAAAAGTCATCTTCGAAAGAAGTTTCCTTCCTCTGTCTTTTACTTATTCTCAAATAATCACACATGGCATTGCTATTAGTATCTATAGGTTGTTCAGGTATCTCACTAACCTTTAAAGGAAATATATGTTCAAATAACTCGACATTTTTTGTCTCCACTATAATATTATGTTCAATTACATCAATTTAAGAACAAAAAACCTATAGGCAACATTATGTTTTGCATAACCTAAGAACATACAATAAGAGGTCTTAGAGTCTATTTTCCTTTTCTTAGGATCAAGTAACATTTACTTAGCTAGGCACCCCACACTCTTAGGTATTTAAGATTAGGTTGATAACCTCTTCATAACTCATAGGGAGTTTTACCAATTTTCTTATGAGGTGTCCTATTTTGTAAAAAAACATGCAGTAAGAAGAGCTTCTCTCTAAAGGTTATCAAGTGCACCAAAACTAATTAGCATGACATTCATCATTTCTTTAAGAGTTCTATTTTTTCTCTCAGCTATTCCATTAGATCGAGGTGAGTACGTTAGGGTTACTTCATGTATAATATCTCCTTTAACACAATAGTCATTAAATAATACATATTCACTACCCTTATGTGATTTAATCCTCTTAATTTTCTTATTCAATTGACTTTCTACTTTTGTCTTATAAGTTACAAACATATCAAATGCTTTATTCTTATGTTTGATCAAGTACATTTTAGTGTATCTAGATTAAACATCTATAAACGTTATAAAACAAGTTTTACCACCTTTAGCCGTGGTTTGTTTTAAATCAACTAGATCAATATAAATTAGCCTTAACAATTCAGTTTGACGTTCTACAATATAATCATCTATAAACGTTACAAAATCATTTTTATCACCTCTAGTTGAGGTTTGTTTTAAATCAGCTAGATTAATATGAATTAGTCCTAACAATTCAGTTTGATGTTCTACCGTATAATCATTTATAAAAGTTACAAAATAAGTTTTACCACCTCTAGCTATGATTTATTTTAAATAAGCTAGATCAATATGAATTGGCCCTAGCAATTCAATTTGACGTTAATTTTCTTTGTTAATTTATATTCTACGCATATATCACACTTCTTACTTTGTTTATCATGCATATTAATTAATCTTAGTCGTTGAAACTTTATAACATACAAGGAATTCACATATTCTAATATAGCATGTCATAGATCATACGAATCAATCGTATACACAGAAGAATTAGAATTAGATTCATTAATAATTTTAGAAATATTAACTACAAAAATGCCTTGATCATAATATCCTTTTATCCAAAAAACATTAGTTTTTTGTCATAACGATTTTATCACATTAAAATGACACTTTAACCTCAACTTTTCCTACCAATGCTAGGAGATTAGCACATCACTTAAGGCTAAAGTCTTCCCAGATGTGAGCTTTAGAAAAACTTTTCCTTTTCCTAAAATATAAGTTGTCTTGGAATCATCGAGATATTTGTGCTCTTTTTCACCCTCCACACTAGGAGATAAAAGAACAATTTTGTTTGCACATGTGCTTGGTAGCACCAAAGTCTACCACCCATTTGTTCATATTAGTCACAAGATTTATTTCGGAAACGGCCACAAAGATTTTTAAAATTAACTTTACACTTGTGATAAGGTTTTTTCTCCTATCTTTTTGGAGCCAAGTTGTGTTCTAACACATGCTTTAGCATATAATGCCCTAGACACAATAACAACACACTCCTTACTAGTGTCTTGGACTTTTGAGATATTCAAGAAAGGTTCCACAAACATTATTTGACTTTTCTAGCTTAGAGTTGTTGTTATTGTCCATCCCGACAACCATTAAGTGTTTAAAATTATTGTAAAACCGGATGAAAACAAGAGTAAACTAAACTTCCTAAGTTGTATATGTTCACTATCTTTCAAAATCCGTAAAGTGTTATGCAAATCTCCCAAAATACAATATGAACTTCTTAAATTTTTGAAAAGATCTTAAAGTTAGCAATAAATTCTAAGAAGAGTATAAACTAAACCTAGGATAATAAAAGTAAGAAGGGAAAAAAGAGAATAAGAGAAAGAAGAATGAAAGCGTAAAAGTGTGTTTTTCGAAGCCCTAGACAACTATTTATAAGTGTATTGGTCACAATCTGGAGGAAACTAACGCCCCCTTTATCCAAGGAGAAAGATCCGCACATGCGGGAGTGGAGTCCAACGTTCTTAAGGAGGAACTAAACGGCAGAGTTATCTTTTGCGATACTCTGCTTTTCACAATACTTTGAATTTGTATTCGGTTTAAGTAGACTAAGATATTTGAAGTTGGATTTGGTCCTTATAGTGTAAAATGGTGGTGTAGGTTGTAAATAGTTAGAGGAGTCTTGTTAGGATTTAAATTAAGTTCATCCCCGCCCCCGTAGAAACCTTAGGCCCATCACGAGAGAAGTTGGGCGCGTCGAACGCATGTTTAAATGTGTAAAGCATAAGTAGACAAGTGACATTCGATGTAGCGGCACCTCTCTAAGGTAGAGCACATGGAGAAATTCAATTTGAATTTCCCTCATTTTTAACTCTCCAAGTCCGACTCCTTAACTATACGAAGAGGTCCCTTCACCTTTTATATCTTCAACTTGGAATGAGCATTATTGTCATTATTATTATTATTAATTTTTTTTAAATATAATAATAATATAAAAACAAATTCATAAAATAATAATAAAATTATATTAATTAAAATTAATTTATAATATTATGGATAGTTTAATTATTTTATAAATGTATCATTTTATAATTATTTTTTGAATATACTATATCAATTAAGTCTTCACAAACTTACAACTTTATTTTTCTTCATTTTCTATTATATTTCCCTTCATTTCCTTCCTTGTCTGATCTTTTAAATTCATTCCTTAGTCCAAATATACTAAAAAATATAGAAAAATGAAAAAAATTTGAACTTGATATTGTTCCCCTAATTATGTTAAGCATTATTGTTCCAGTGGCTAAAAGCATGTTTCAGTTGAGTTTCACGTCAAAGGACACTTATTATCATGTAAGATAAATATGTTGATTTTTTAAAATAATTATTTAAAGTCGGACCGTCTATGATAAGTTTGTTTTGGCATGACTAGAGTGTTATGTTTCTGCATGTTTTTCTGAATTGATACACAAGGATAAATGGTATGAGTAGGGAATTAAGGTTTAGATTCTTTATCAAATGAAAAGAATGGATTAACATGATCATTCTGATTAGAATTTATATCCAAGTAGATTTGGGTTGCTATCATCTTTCCAACCTTCATTCTGGTCTGTTTATTTATTTTCAGGAGGGTGGATCATTGTTATGGAGCTGTATCCTGGGTTTGCTTTATATCGTGGGCTATATGAGTTTTCGCAATATTCCTTTAATGGTGACGCTTTGGGGACTGATGGTATGCGCTGGGGCGATCTGAGCGATAGCGAAAATGGCATGAAGGAGGTCTTAATTATAATGTTTGTGGAGTGGATTTTGGTGCTTTCCTTTGCCTATTATATCGATCAACTTTTGTCAACAGGAAGCAGAAAAAGTCCTCTTTTTTTCTTTAAAAGATTTCAGAAAAAGCCTCATTCATCTTTTCGGAAGCCTAGTATCCGAAGGCAGAAATCCAAGGTTTTTGTTCAGATGGAGAAACCTGATGTCGCTCAAGAGGTAAATTTTTGTTTGCATTGAATACATTTACTCATTAGTAGTTTCTTTTAGAAATCAAGAAACCTAATATCCTTCCGTAGGAGGATTTCCCTAACTAACTGGTTTCGGAAATTGATGTGATGATGCCATCTCAGTAATACCAGTAGTGCACTCGTCCAGTAATCATTACAGCTTTAGACTTATCTTAGTTCGTACCTGTACTCTGAATCTGAACATTATATTTCTATTGGAAGATATATCACTAGTTTCTTTATTCTTCCACATTTGATTGTATTTAAAGTGGAGTCAATGATTATGCATTCATAGTGTAAAACAGTTTTTGCATTGTCACAACTCAACAGAAATAATCCATAGTATGACTTTTAAAGTAATTAATGTAAAAATTAACAAAGATAACTTAAGATTATATGACTATGTAATACAGTTCTATGCTGTCTGTGCATAGCTTTTTTTACCTTAGTTAATTTTTTTTTCCTTTTTCTCTTCAGAGGGAGAAGGTGGAGCAACTGCTACTTGAACCGACCATCAATCAAGCAATTGTATGTGACGACCTGAGAAAGGTCTACCCGGGGAGAGATGGTAACCCTGAGAAACTTGCGGTCAGGGGGTTGTCCCTTGCTTTACCCCAAGGAGAATGCTTTGGTATGCTTGGTCCCAATGGTGCTGGGAAGACTTCTTTTATCAATATGGTTAGTTAAATTTGATTTATCAGCTTTGGAAACTTCCTTTCGTTTCTTTCCCTATCCCTTCCTTCCTCTTTAAATGTAAGCTGAATCTGAAAAATCTATTTAGTTTCTCAAGAGGAAATAGTTCAATTTTAAAAGTACTTTGAAAATTGTATATCTTTTTGGGTTAAATATGTTTTTAGTCCCTAAACTATTGACCGTTTCTGGTTTTCGTCCCTCTTCCAAAGTAAGGTACAATTTAGTCCTCAATCTTTAAAAAACGTTCGTTTTAGTCGAAAAAACGAACGTTTTGAGGACTAAAACGAGGACTAAAAACAAAATTTTGAGGACTAAAACGAACGTTTTTCTAAAGAATGAGGACCAAATTGTACCTTACTTTGGAAGAGGGACGAAAACCAGAAACGGCCAATAGTTTAGGGACTAAAAACATATTTAACCCTATCTTTTTCTATGAAAATTGCCAATTTCTTGATGCTGAGAGATTTGTGAGTTTAGACATAAAAGTATGTATCTGATTGTTTTTCTCTGAAATCCTGTTACTATGCCATGAGTCTTTTTTTGTTTTCGTTTGCTGGTGGTTTGCTCCTCAACTAACCAGCATGTATTGCTTGCAGATGATTGGTCTCACGAAGCCAACCTCTGGTACAGCATTTGTTGAAGGTCTTGACATAATAACTCATATGGATGGAATATATACTAGCATGGGTGTATGCCCACAACATGAGTAAGCTGAAATTTCTTCCTATTTATGTTTTTTAATGTAATATTAAATTAAATTTGTAATAATTAAGAAGTTTTATATATATTTTTCTTTTATTATTTTAGTTTGCTGTGGGAATCTCTGACAGGAAGAGAGCATCTACTCTTTTATGGCAGACTTAAAAATCTTAAAGGTTCAGCCTTGACAGAAGTAAGTTTCCTTGAGATTATGATTGCAGAGAATGTTGGGACTTTTTAGAATATCTTGCATCATAGTTGGAGCAAAGAAAGAAACATACAATTCTTATGTGACCAAATCATAGTTTGGTCATTCTTAGTGATATACAGTTCTTGTGTATTATGTTTGGATGACATAAGTGTATTAAACATCATGAAGAGTACTATTATTTTGTCAATTTTAAAGGGAATTGAACATCCTGCCAGTGTTATCTTATTAGTTTTATGCTCATTCCCCATAATTATTCATTTGTTAAACGGGTATAGATATTTAGAGGTCTTAGCTGCAGTGTATGTGTAGATACAAACTGAACCATTTTCTCTTAACATTTATTTAGCTGTAAAGACAAGACCTGGGTAATTTTAACTTCCAATCTATTGATGCAGGCAGTGGAAGAATCGTTGAAAAGTGTAAACCTTTTTTATGGAGGAGTTGCAGATAAAAAAGCTGGAAAGTACAGCGGAGGAATGAAAAGGAGGCTTAGTGTCGCAATTTCATTGATTGGAGATCCTAAGGTAGCGTTCTTTCCCATTCAATCTGTTTCACTAAATCAATTTCTTATCTTTCCTCTAAATTATTCTTGTTATGTTTTCTTACAGTAAATGTTTTATTTTTATAAGGTTGTTTATATGGATGAACCAAGTACTGGATTAGACCCTGCATCAAGAAACAACTTATGGAATGTCGTCAAGCGTGCAAAACAAGATCGTGCAATCATTCTTACCAGTAATCTCACTCTTCTAAGAACATATACAAGCTTGTTTGGTTTTGGTTTTAAACATCATGGACGCGGTGTCTTTCTAGAAGAAATAGATTAATAAAATCTTTGTTTGCATACTATTTTCAGCACATTCCATGGAAGAGGCAGAAGTCCTATGCGATCGATTGGGAATATTTGTAGATGGAAGCTTGCAGTGCATAGGAAACCCAAAGGAGGTAACATTGTTTAATAATCATTGGAAATCCAACATGCATTTGCTATGTTAACTTTTTGTGGCTCCCAAGTGACATTTTTTATACTTGTTGGTTTACGACAGTTGAAAGGTAGGTATGGAGGAACCTACGTGTTCACAATGACAACATCTGTGGATGATGAAAAGGCTGTAGAGAATTTGGTGCGAAGGCTTTCCCCAAATGCTAACAAGATCTACCATATCTCTGGTACACAAAAGTTTGAGCTACCAAAGGAGGATGTTAAAATAGCAGATGTATTCAAAGCAGTTGAGACTGCAAAAAGAAGCTTCACCGTTTCAGCATGGGGTTTAGCTGACACCACATTGGAAGATGTCTTCATCAAAGTTGCACGTGCGGCTCAGCCATTTGACACCTTGTCATAGTTTCATACTCTGCTTGTACAGGATTTTGTTAGTTTTTCCATCTAATTATCACCACAAATTTTTTAATAATATTTTGACAGTATTTTTTATTGAGTTCAAAGTAGATCAGTACCATAATAAATAAATATTTAACTAGTAAAAAAATAACATATGTATTGTGTCAAAATATTGTTAAAAAATATGTTAAAATATTTTTTTTTCTTTTAG